AGAATTCCCCAGCCAGCCATGCTGGCTGGGGAATTCTGGGAGTTGAAGTCCACCCATCTTAAAGTTGCCACGGTGGAGAAACGCTGCACTAGACACCCCCCCTTTGGAGGGCTTTTCTGCAGGTTCCCCTTTCTGTCTATGATAACAATGTGCTTTACACAACCAGCCCTTTTTCAAAGCTCACCAATGTGGGAGGAAATTGATTCACTCTCCTCTCTGCATCTGACCCTACTCTCAGCCTTTCAAAGTAGGCCAGATCCAGAAATAGGAGCAGCAGAGGTTTCAGGAATGCTCAAGATTCATAGGAGAATCTTGAAAGCCTGTCAGAATTTCTCACTAGCGCATCTTATAATCTTACAACCCAAATCAAGGCAGGGCTATTTTGAATTTCTGTCACATGCTTCCTTCTTTCCCAACACTGTACAAACTTTTCTGAATGTCCTCCTCCCTTAATAGCTCTTCATGCCTATTCCCAGGGCCAAGATTACAGTCCATCATGAATGAATGAATATCCACCTCTAAGATTAATAGGAGATGTTGAAAGTGATTCCAGTATACTGTGTGTCTTTCTTTTGGCCAATACTTATGTTCTTTTTATGAACCCCTGCATGGAGTCAACTCATCTGGAATATGCTACCTGATAAATTCTCTTAACCATATCCTATTTACAGACATGTTAAGGGGACAGGTTTTGTAGCAAAACATGTTGGTTTTCCTGTTGTTATGGAACATCCTCCCCAATAAGGTCAGATCATCCATTCCTAACAGTCTTCTCGAAACTAATAAAAACAGCTTTTCTGAAGAGCACTTGAGCCATGATACAAGTATATTGTTTGTATTACTATAATGTATTATTATTATATTGTTGTCTTGGTTTTAATATTGTTGTATGGGAGTCAGCCCTCTGGAGTCCACGCTGATTATAAAGGACAAAATAAATAAAAACCAACTGGAGTAGAAAAAAATGAGGAAATGCGTTAGTGCAATGCCAAGTTAATCATACTTCATTCAGCAGCATAAAACATAGATTATTTGCAAAAATGTCCTACTGGGTTCAATGTGACCCAAAGGTATTTGCAGCGATGACTATGAATGCATGTTAAAATGGGTGGGGCTTTGATTCCTTGGTCAGGCCTGCCATTCTGAGGCCAGTGGCCATTGCTGCTGATACCCCTGGTGTGACGTTCCCTTTAGTACATGTGCTTGGAAATGCAGCATTCCTAAGCACATTTTCTCAGAAAGGACAATTTCCACAGGTCTTCAGCCCCTGCAAAGGGTGTTTCAGACTGTGGACATTGAGACTCCTTCACACATATGCAGCCCCTAGACTCGCACTGAATCCTACAAGTTTCCCTTTCAAATGGCATTATCACACGTGGCACAGAAACACACAGAAACACACACACACACACACACACCCATGGATTTGAGCTTTAGGGAACAATTTGTCTGTTGAGGATATTGATTTCTCACGAGAACTGCAGCATCTAAAGGCAGATCTTTGGGCCATGCAGGTTCCACTGTGTCATTTTCAATAAGACAAAGAACAGAATTCGATTGCCTGAAAATATCACTACAAGAAGACATCAGTCTCTAGTTTCCTCTTTTTTTCCCCTCTGTTGCATGCATTTATATTCAGGTCCTATCATTTGCTCAATTCTTCCCATGTATTTGCCTTTTTACATCGTTGACAGCAGATACCAACCAAGCTACCAAGGAAAAAAATGCCATAAATACCAAGGATCCTCCAGGAAATTCTGCTACTTTCTCAGGTTTAATCAATGCCACTTTCCCCCAACCCTTCTGCCTCCTGAATGTATTGGACTTCAGTGCCTCTTATCCACTGCCATAATAGCTAGAGAAGAACAGGCTTGAAGAAGTCTGTGTCCTTCCTTCTTTACCATCTCTATGAAACTTGAGATTCAATTCAAAACCCCTTCATGCTCCAGTCGTAAAACAAGAACGTATCTAATGACCGTCAAGTGATCCATAAACTTGCATGGTGGAAGCAGCCAAGGATCTGAGCGACAGATGGCACAGGCCAAAGACAATCTGGGCTCGGTTCAAGAAAGCCTTGACAGCCGAATCATGGATGAAGAGAACAAACTTGTTCTTTCAAGTGTCTCAATGGTGCACTCATTGCCCCTGTAACTAAGTCTAGCCACCTTGCTGGTTGTCTTCTTCTTCTCTTTCCTTCTACCTTTCCCAGCACTGCAGCCTTTTCCAGAGAGCTGGGTCTTCGCATAATGTGTCCAAAGTAGGATAATTTGAGCCTGGTCATTTATGCTTCAAGTGAGAATTGTGGCTTGATTTGTACGATGATCTCTCAGTTTGTTTTCTTGGCTGCCCACGGA